AAGGAAAGTTTCTTCAAATGGAGTTTTAATAGAATTTCTCCTCACTCATACAATGAGGGGTCAAGACAAGAAAAAACTTTGCTACAATTTTTTGGGGACAGAAAAAAAATTAGGAAAGTTCTCGGTGAAGAGCAATTTTTAGGAAATTCTGTAACATTGGTGCTATCCTTTTATAGATTCAATACTACTTTAGCAATTTTCCCCTAGAATTCAGAGGTTGCTTACTCTGATTTTTGTGATTGTTGTTCTAGAGATTGAACATAGGGCATTTTCTACTGAGCTATACCCTTTTCCCTTTTTAATTTTTATTTTGTCTCACTAAGTTTCTAAATTACCCAGACTGAGCTTAAACTTTCAATCCCCCTGTCTCAGCCTCTCAGAACTCTGGGGTGACAGGCAGTCACCTCAAGCCCACCACCAGTGCTCTAAATTGATGGCAATAATTTTCACTATCACCCAGCTTCATATCCAAAGCAAGCCATGGTCCCGAGGCTAGGAAGCTCATCTTCTGTACATGTAGCAAACCTCCACCAGGGAGAAAGGCTGTTTTTCTACTGCATGTGAAGCACTTTATACCATCTGGGCTGGATGGGTTTCAACAAAGATAGTAAAGAAACATTTATCAAGAAAAATCAAAGATGATCTTGCCAAGTGTGGTCTAGAGAGATTTGCTCTCTTGATATATATGTGGCTGTCACTGCAGGGCAACACAACTTGACTGTGAAAGCTTCCTGAGGGATAGATCTTTGGATATGAGACTGCCACTGTTGTCAACTGATCGTGATACAGTGGTTTTAGTTGCTGTAGTTTTAGAGATGTGAATACCAACAGTTCAAAAGCAATTTTCATCCTCTCCTTCCAAAGGGGTTTTTTTTTTTTTTTTTTTTGCCCTCTTTCATAGAGAACAGATTCCAATGGACAGAAGTCGAAGAAAAGTGTGAAAGAGTGAGCGTGAGAGGAGAGCTGGAGTGGTGTCTCTGTCAGGAATGGGAGTATGAGAAGTAGTGAAAGCCAAAGGAAAGGGCATTCTTTTTTGATCCTAAATTTTTATTAGCATATATCTTCCTTCCCTAGTTGCTGAGGTGAAATACTCAAGCCCACAACTTACAGAAGGAGCGGTTTATTTTGGCTCATGTTTCAGTCCATAATCAGCTGGCTGTAAGGCAGAAAGGCATGGCAAGAGGAGAGGTGCTTGCAGTATGGTGGACAGGAAGCAGTGAGGGTGAAGGGAGGAGCAGGGGAAGGAGATGGACCCTTCCAGGCCGTGGCCCCAGAGACCACCTCCTCAGATCAGGCTCTGCTTCCCAACATCTCATTTAGCTATAAACTCATCAGTGGATACATCCACTGATGAGCATCACACACCCATGATCCAGTCACCTCCCAGAAGCTTCGCCTATGAGTACATGAGGCTTCAGAGAGATATTTAGATATGGACCATAATAGTATCAGTTTGAGCTGCAAAATACATTCACTGTGGGAATGGTGCACATGCATATCACATCTTGATTCCTTTTATTTTCCCTCCTTTCTCCCCCTCCTCCCATCCTCAGGTTCACTTCCCACCTCCATGAAGTCTATCTCCATTCTTATCATCTGTCTTTTAGTTTGCTCTTTGAAGTATTTATGCTTTGGGTTTCTCACATAAAAGAAACCACATGCTATTTAACTGTCTCTGATTTGTTTCACTTAGCATTATGGCCTAGCTCAAGGTGCATCAATTTTTCTACAAGTGACTTAAATTTATGGCTAATTAGTACTCCATTAGGTATTTATGCTACATTTTCTTTATCCATTCATCTGGTGATGGACACAGAGAACACTTCCAAGATTTGGCTACTGTGAATTGTGTTGCTATAAACATGAGTATGCATATATCCCTGTAATATGATGTCTTCAAGTCTTTTGGGAAGATACCTAGAAGTATAGTTGAGTCAAGTTGGATCTCCATGTTTAACTTTCTAAAGAATCTCCATAAAAATTTCCAAAGTTAGTGTACTAGTTTACATTCTCACCAAAAACGTAGATTCTTTTCCCCCCACAACCTTGCCAGTATTTGTTGTGTTTTGAGTTTGTGATGATAGCTACTGGAAAAAGACATTCTTCACCCATTAACCTGAAGATGGACAGCTCCAGCATGCAGCACTCTGTGGCCCTCCAGAGCACTCTACAAGGCCTGCAGAATCCTAAACTTACAAGAGAAGACTTTTTCTCCAGTGATTATCTTTGTGGCATTGTTCGTCAGACAAGGAAGCAGGGACTGGCTTCACGAGAAGGAAGAAAGAGGAGCAGCTTCCACTTGCCTGCGTTGTCAATCAAACAGACAGACAAGATTCTGGCGCCTTAGTGCTTCAGATCATGTTTTTTATGGAACTCACTGTGTGATAGAAGTGTCATTCCCAGACTAGAAACTGGCACATGCTATTTTCCTTGGAAAGCTCAAGAAATGAGAGAAAATAACAGTTGGGGATTGTACTTTGTGGGGAAAATGCACTGGCGTCTTAAGAAAGCATCACTCTGCAGAGCAGCGTTACTCACTGTGTTCTCTGTAGGCCAGCGACGTCAGCCTCATGTGGAAACTTGTTAGAAAGCAAACGAACAGATCCCAATCCAGACCTAAAAGGGCGGCATCTGTCGGTGCAGGGTGGGTCCCAGGAATCTCTCTCAGTCCTTTGGTGACCCTTAGGCACGCTAAGGGTAGAGAAGCACTATTCTGGAAGGATTCGTATGGGAAGATCAAATAGATTGTTCTCAAGAAAAAAGATCACAGGTTGTTCTGTCTTATCCTGCTCCATTTGGAAATGATTAAGTATTCAAGACAGAAATAGACAAAGAGGGCAGTGAGTAATAATGATGCAATAGCAGTTCCATGGCTAATATTTATTGAGTATTTTTCTAGGTTCCAGATTCTGTGCTAAACATGTCAGTTTTACTTTTTAGCAGCCAAAGTGAGGTTTGAGCAGCAAAGAAAGTGAGTTTTAAATACAAAAAGTATTTCTGATAGGTAAAATATCTACCCTGTGTCTTAGAACCCTGTATCCAGAACACTGTGCAGTCTGTCTTGGATTAGAAGTCTCGTTAGACTCCTTCCTTCTTTCCTCCTTTTCCTTCCTCCCTCCTTTCCTTCTCTCAACATTGATCAGTTGCTTGGGGTTTTGCTAGTTAAGAAACATGAAAAAAAACAGGAGAGAGCTGAGGCTATTTTTCAGGGAACAATATATAATGTACTGCAAAGTTTAAGCTGGGGTAAATGAAGGACAAACCAGAGGGAATGGGAATTCAGAGAGTGGATGCTGGGTGCAGAATGGATTGGTGGGGCAGACTTTTGGGAAGGAGTAATGGGGTTAATGAACTAGACAATAGGAAGTGACATAAGATAGTGGGGATATGTGCCGTGTAATTTGGGGGATGATAAAGTCCAGGGTGTGACATGGGAGGGGATAACTGAAAATCACAGGAACTGAGCTGGCACTTTATCCCCTGTTTTCCAATGTGTTTGTCTTGCCTTCTTGAACTAGAGTTCCTGTTTTTATTGTCTCATTGCTCTGGTGGAACGTTTAGAAAAAATTGTTTAATAATGGCTATGGTAATGGGTATCTGTGTCTTCCTTCCAGCTTTCATGGGATTGCGTTTATCATGAACTGTGGCATTATTATTTCAGATAACCTGAATCCTGTTAAGAAATTCCATTGCTATTTTCAAATAAATACAGTTATCTTATGGTTTTCTCCTTTCACCTACAAGTTGATGAATATTTTAATAATAGATTTGCAGAGGTTGAATCATCATTGTATTTCTGGTAGGAGTCATTCCATATTTAATGTCTAGTAGATGGTTTGATTTGTTTAGAATTGAGTATATTACCTGGGATTTCTCTGTTGTAAGTGAGATAGTTAACACTGTATCCTTAAGACCTGTACATCTCTCATTTTCAAGTCCCCTTTCTTCAACTACGTATGTTCCTGGCTTTTGAACTGACTCTGATTAATTTTTCCCTCTTTCTCCAGGCTGATATTTTATTCTACCTCCTCCTTTCCATGGCTGGTGGCACTTTTACTCCTGATCTACTTTCTTTCCTCCCCTAAACTGGTCTTTTGACCTTCACAAGGAAGTTCATGACTGAGGGTGGAGCCTTGTTATAATTCTGCCAGTATTTTTCCTGTCTTCTCTCAGTGAGTGTCTGGGTGCTGGTTAACAGGTGCACCTTGGTTTATTTTAGCTGGCAACTCTAATTCTTTTTTAGCTTTTTGTTTCAGAACTGAAGTAAAATTCACATCACATAAAATTAGCCACTCACTTTTAAAGTGTAAGTTCAGTGGCATTCGGTACTTTCACAGTGTTGTGCAGCCATCATCTCTCTCTCTTTAATAAATTTAATAAGAAACTACTCAAAAACAGTAGCTTCCCCTTTTCCCTGTGTCCTCAGCCAGAGGCAACTAGTTTGTTGTATATGTCTCTATGGGTTTTACCTGTTTGGGAAGTTTCATATAAATAGAATCATAATACATGACTTCTTGTGTCTGGGTACATATATTCCCAATAGTCCAGAAGTAGAAATGACACAAATGTTGATCCACAGATGAGTGCATAAACAGAACGTCTTAGATCTGTACAGTGGGATATTACTGAGCCTGAAAAATGAAGAAGTGATCCATGCTATCACATGGGACTTGAAAACATGCTACATGAAAGAAGCCAGTCTTTCTGTTGTCTTTGTAGAAGAAAGCTTAGAAAACTTACAGTTATTCCTGGGTGTGGCATAGAAAGAGCAAAATGAAACCGGAAATTAGCCTTTAGCCAGTGTACAACAAAATCTACACTATACCATTATACATTTTATATAACTGTTGATATTTATAGCTGTTGATATTAATAAAAGCAAAATTTCCAGGAATCTTGTGGTGCCAAGGACCCTGCCTGCTGCATGTTCTGCAGAGGTTACTTGGTGTGTAAACCATTTTGGGCACTGTTAGTGTTAAAACTACTTTTTTCTTTTGTAGTAAGAGATGCTAAAAACCTTGTACCCATGGACCCCAATGGCTTGTCAGATCCCTATGTAAAACTGAAACTGATTCCTGATCCTAAAAGCGAGAGCAAGCAGAAGACCAAAACCATCAAGTGCTCCCTTAACCCTGAGTGGAACGAGACATTTAGATTGTAAGTTGACATCATGGCGGCCCAGCGTGGGTGGGAGAGGTATATATGAGCCATCAGAAACTAGGGATTCCTCTCTTCCTGCCTGCTGTCTCCTTCCCTTCCTCTCTTCCTGCCTTCCTAGCTCCCTTCCTTATTCCCTTCGTGAGCCAAGGCATTTTTAAAATAGAGTTCAGAAGACCCATGATATGGGGACTGGGTGGGCTGGGAAGCAGCACAGTGTGTTATGAAAGTAAATTGTGAGAGAAGCTGTGGGTCTTAGGTAACAGTGGGATATAACCGATGGGGTGTGGTGACAACCTGTCTAGGGCTCAGTTTAGGGATAATGTTGGGTCTTTGGACTGCTGGGAGATCTCCATTAGCTTCCCTTGCCAGTATCCAAAAATTTGTGCCAATAAGTGTGGTGTCAGAGCAGCTGATATTTATTGAGCACATGTTATGTGTAACATGCACAAGTTAAGTGATCCAACTTCATTGACTCATTTCATTCCCATTTTGTAGATGAGGTGTATTAAAGCAGATGCTCAAAGTTCTATAGCAAGTATAAAGTGCTGGGGGCTTTGGCCTTAGACAGTCTGACATCAGAGCCCATGCTTCAGTTGCAGCCTAAAAGCACACGACTTTGGATAGTCCATTTGGTTCCTTTGGACAGTCCCATTTCTCAGGGCAAAGTAGGAAACGCCTAGGCTTTAATCCAGTGCCTCAGACCAGATAATTTCCCTTTCCCTGTACACTGCTTCAGCCTCAACCCACACATGTGCAAATACGTAATACATGTGCATACACACCCAATTATGTAACTTCTATCTGTATTCAGTAGGATTACCTGAACACTGTGGACTCTATTAAGACATAGCAGAAGTAGGAGCTGCTCCTGTCGGAGCTGGCCCAGGTCCTCTGCTTGTTTAAGCCACAGGCTGTCAAGCAGGAAGAGCTCCCTGTCTCTGGGGAAAGGAAACCAAGTATGTTTCTTGCAGAAGCTTGTAACGTTTAAAAATTTCTAGCTCCAGGTCTTGTCCTCTTGTACTTTTCATCTGCTTGAGAAGTCACGACAGCTTCTGCTGCCTTCTCTCTTTTTTTCTTTGCAGTCAGCTGAAAGAATCAGACAAAGACAGAAGACTGTCCGTGGAGATTTGGGATTGGGATCTGACCAGTAGGAATGACTTCATGGGGTCTTTGTCCTTTGGGATTTCTGAGCTGCAGAAAGCTGGTGTTGACGGATGGTAAGAAAAATCTTACTTTGGGAACCACAGTATAATTTAGTCCATCAAGTATGGGATCAAGTGTCTTTCTTTTTCTTTTGAAAGTGAAGCATGAAAACAGAGTCCCAAAGTGAGGGCTGCTGAATTGGGTCTGCCTCACAGATAGTTTTATTCGGTCCTTTAACTTAAAAAGGAATGATAAGCCAGGCATAAGAGGCTGAGACAGGAGGATCGTCATGAGTTGGAGGCTAGCCTCGGCTACACATAGCAAGAGACTTTCTCAAAACAAACAAACAGGAATAATAAGTTGCCAGTATTTTAGAATCTGGGGCCCAAGACACCAATTGAGAACAGCTGAATAGACAAGACATGGTTTTCTATTTGCCTCAGTCCTCACCACTCCCTACTTGTGACACTTGCCCTATTTGAAACAGTTATGTAATTTTGCTGGCACTAAAGTGGCTCTCAGTTTACCCAAAAGCCCTGCGCAATCCACTTTCAGATTCTGGCTTTTTAAGGAGATACATCTTCATTGAGGGCTGCATGTGATCAACTTCACAGTCAGCTACAATATTTCCTTTGTTCTGGGGTCTTTTCTTTTTCTGGCTCTTCCTTTCTTTTCCTTCCTTCCTTCCTTCCTTCCTCCCTCCCTCCCTCCCTCCCTCCCTTCCTCCTTCCTTCCTTCCTTCCTTCCTTCCTTCCTTCCTTCCTTCCTTCCTCCCTCCTTCCCTCCCTCCCTTCCTCCTTCCTTCCTTCCTTCCTTCCTTCCTTCCTTCCTTCCTCCCTCCCTCCCTCCCTTCCTCCTTCCTTCCTTCCTTCCTTCCTTCTTTCCTTCCTTCCTTCTCACACCTTTGTACTGAACCTCATGGCCTTTGTACTGAACTACATCCTCAGCCTTTTTTAAAAATTTTTTATTTTGAGAGACAGAATCTTGCTAAGTTGCTCAGGCTGAACTTGGACTTGTGATCCTCTTGCCTCAGCTTCCCAGAGTGCTGGAATTACAAGAATGGCATACAACCAGCTCACCTTTTCTAAGAGTACATATCTCTGCAGATTCAGGAGGCCATCTGGACTTGATTCAGTTGTGAATGATAAACAAACGAATATTACTGCGAAGAAAGAAACAAGTAATTAGAAAATTTTCTAACATGACATTAAAAGGTCATCCAATCATCTTTTCCCCCAATGTTTAGATAGTTCTTCCTCTAACATATGGATGAATTCCACCTTCATTGACTCACATATTGGATGTTACTTCCTCTTTAAGCAAAGTTTAAAGAGGTTAGAGACAAAGAAAGCATGATCCCCAGGGGGTTGAAGCAAGATAGAGAGAACATAATAATGATAATAATTACAATAACGATAGCTACCACTTACTGATTCTCACTAGATGCCAAGTGCTGGGCTGAGCATTCACATGGGACTAATCAGATGTGCAGAAAAATAAAACTGTTTTTTTTTTCTCTAAAATGGATCCATACTTTACCGTGCAATTTTGTGACCTCACAATAGCCAAAAAGAAGGGTCCCTTCACTTGCATGGGGCACTTTGTGGGCTCTGGTTACAGAGTGACCATTCCTGCTGGCCCATGAAACAGTGGCTACTACTTCACCCTGGAGCTTTTATCCCTCGCCTGTTGTGCTCCACAAGTCCTCTCTTTGTCCCAGCCCCACGATACCACCTGGCCCCATTTTTCTCAGCACTTCCAGGGTTTTCCTTCATGGGAAACCAAGGATGCTGCTGCAGGGTCCTGAACTTTGCCCTCCCTTTGCCATTACAGTGGTGATGATGGGAATCCATAGGGTGCCACCCCAGGAAACCTACCACTCCTGCCCCCTCTTCTTCTCCCAGGAAATAAACACATTATCACAGTCTTCCTTCTGGGCCAGCACCTGAAACAATTTTAAATAATTGTTGGCTTCAGACAGTTGTCTACTTAAACAATTTTGCTGGGAGAACTTTAATAAGCATGCTGCATTTAGTACAGGAAAATAAAAAGAAAATATAAAGGTATAAAAGATCTGGACATTATAATAAGCTGGAATGTAGCAATGACAGCAGAAAACAGAGACACAAAAATGGCTTAGTGTTAAGGGATGGTGCCCCAGGACTAAGTCCAAAGCACGACCACATTTACTCTTAGATCATCACTTAATTCTCCCAACAGCCCTAGCTAGAGCATCATTCCCAAGAATCAGAGTCTTTAACGCTATATTAAGGACACACAGCTCTTAAATGACAGCGTGGGAGTTTGGGTCCAGGCATCCGTGATGCCAGAGCCAAAGAATATACTGATACTGTTCTGTCTCTTGACATAGGGGTAGGCAGAGAGCTGGGGGAAAGTGGAGGGGAGATACCTGGGGTTGACCTTAGCTCTCCTAACTGGATGGATGTATTATGACCTCAGGAATGTCACTTGTCCTCTCTGTGCCACGGCCTTCTCCAAAGACATTATGCCACTCACCAGATTGGTAAAATACCCTTTCTCCATGCTTAGGATGTTTGTTAAGTTGATGGAGTAATAGTTGAGAGGAAACATTTGCAAAGTGATGCTGCCTTGGCTTTAACGGAATCAAATTCTAGAAATTTGGATTCTAATTAACATTACGTGATCTTTGGCAAGTCACATGCACTCTCTGACTCAGTGTTCCCAGACAGAAGGACCTGGGCTTCTCCAGTTATTCTGCTGTGCTGTACAGTCATGCATCATGTAATCATGGTGCAGTCAACAACAGACCTATAAGATTATAAGGGAGCTGGCTACAGTGACATATGCTCATTATCACTGCATTCTGGAGGCTGAGGCAGGAGGATCGTAAGTTTGAGCTCAGCCCAGGCAATTTAATGACTTAGATAGAGATTCTTTCTCAAAATAAAAAATATAAAAGGGCTGGAGATGTAGTTTACTGTAAAAGCCCTGGGTTCAATCGGTAGTACTGACCAAAAAAAAAAAAAAAAAAAAAAGATTTTAAAGGAGCTGAAAAATTCCTGTCACCTAGCGAGCGATGTCATGCCAGTGTGCTACAATGGCCTGTGCTGTTCAGTGCATTGGTGCATTGGCATGCTACCCAGGTTTGTAGCTCCAGAATGGCCTGTTAGACCATACAGCACAGCCATGCAGCAGGGTGTGTCTTGTAGAGTTATGGAAGCACACCTGGTGGTCACACAATAAGGATATCGCCTACTGACGCACTGTCAGAAGGTGTCCTGCTCACTAAGTGACACATAGATGTCATTTACAACCATGTGGCAGAGCATGTGAGCAGTCCAGATGTGGTGCACCTGCCCCAGGCTCATCTGCCTCCGCTGCCAGCTCAGGCTCTGCTGTCAAATCCTCTTCTGCGTTTCTAATTTTGTTTGTTTATGCTGTCTTGTTTCTTTCCTCCTGATTTTCTGGAGGTTCATCTGTTTTATTTATTTTTTTCTTCACAGAATTAGCTGTGGGATTTGTGTATCAATTCTATGTCTGTCTTCTCCTTTTGGTAGGTTTTATTTTGTACTTTGAATTTCATTTTGCTAATTTGTTTTTCTTCTTTTATCTTCTTTTGCTCTTCAAAATAATGAACAAATATTTAAGGGACCAGCTAATTCCTCTGTTTCAATGTCATGTTCAGACTGTTTTGTGTCTTTCCTGAGGTGTCTGCATTTGTGTTTTAAATTTCCTATCATGCTTTTTTTTAGGCATGCTTCTTAGCTTCTTAAATTAGCTTTCTGCTTAAATTTTTATTACTAATTTAAAATTATAGCTGTCATGTTTTATAGGCAGAGAATATGTCCTGTGCGCTTTTCTTTCTTTTTCTCTTCTGTTTTCTTTTTTCTCAATTTAGCTTGGTATATGTTCAGTGTTGCTAAATGGTCTGTGAACATGACAATAAAAATGTTAGTCAGGTTTTTGATACTGGGACAAAATACCTGATCTCTGCAGCTTAAAGGAACAGCAGTGTAATTAGACCCATGTGCTAACCAAATATTCTACCATCCAATTACATTCCCAGCCCAGAGAGTGTCTTTTAAAAGTAAATGTATTATTTAAGAACCAGATGTTTTAATGAAGAGCAGTAAGTCAAAATAATACACAGGTTACCAAAATCCATGAACGCAGCATAAGGACAGATAAAGTGCCCAATCGCAGGCCTTTTTTTTTTTTTTTCCTACTACTATTTTACTTTTCAGAATTTCCTGGAAGGACTGCTGCGTGGCTAGCACTCTTCTCAATTTCCAGCAAAGATACAGATGTTCTCTTATTTTTATGTCTTTTGATGACTTCAGTGGAAATTTGAGGAAGAAAATACGAACTGCAAGGCGGCATTTCTGTTTGACTCACCTATCTTTCTATTTTTGGAAGCTGCCTAAGATTTGTGAACGGAGAGGAAATTGTGATGAACATTGTAAACTTTGGTGAGGAGGCATCTGGGAGTGAGGAGTTTGGGAGTGAGGACTTTTTCCTCCTAATTTTCTCAAACGCCTTGGGAATGTCACTTTTCCTTCCTCATTCTTACCCCCTCACTAGTTGGAAACATCTTGGTGCTCAGAGACAAACTGAAGCTACCGCATTTGCTATAAAAGTTAGTATCATGGTGTGAATCATCACCATGGCAATGAGTGTGACTTTCGTTGAGCACTTACTGAATGCCGGACACAGCACTTACTTCACATGCATCATCACACAATTCTGTGAAAAAGGGATTTGTAGTTCAGGGCGTGAATGTGAGATACAAAGGCTCAGTGAGACTAACCACCTGTAATCGAAGATCACCTGAGGACGCGAGGCAGGGGCAGAGGCAAAGTGTGGACCTGGGCTGGTGACACAACCACTCAGGAATAATGTTTCTTAAGAAGGAGACTGCAGAACTCTTTGGGCATTGGGAAGTCTATGGTCGTCCCTGTGTATTCCCATGAATGCCACACGCGAAATGAGAGGTAGAGAAATGCTGGGAAAGCTGATAAGGATGCGTGGGCGCCTCTGCAGTGGGTGCCTCTCAGAATGAAAAGCACCCAGTGCACAAGACATGGATAAAGACATCAGTAATCAAATGGATGTAACTAAAGAAGCTGTGCCTGTGAAGGAGAGCGTACTTTGCATTGTAATGTGCATTGTTTTCTGATGTGGCAAACCTTATTTATGTTTCACATTTACCTTATACATACAGCTTGAAGGTAATTTTATACAATTACTTTGCACAAAATCAGGGTTTCATGGTATGGAATGCTCTATGCGTGGTGTCATGTTGGGAATGAAAAGGGTTTGGCTATCGGAGCATTGTGGGTTTTGAATTTTTGAGTTAGAGATGGGCAATCCATGGTTAAAAAATAGACAGATAGGGGCTGGGGATTTAGCTCAGTGGCATAAGCGCCTGCCTTGGAAGCCTGTGGTCATGAGTTCAATCCCTGGTACCGGTAAAAATACAAAAAAAAAAAAAAAAAAAAAAAAAAAATAGATAGATAGATAGTACTTGGCTATATACACACAACAAAACTCCCCAGAACCTTCCACATAGTTTTTTATGTAGAGCTCTTTATAGGCCTTTTTCTTGTACTCTGCTCAATAAAATAACAGCAAGCAGAGAGTCATGGAGTTTGTCCGCCCTGTCCTCTCCCTCTAGGTTTAAGTTACTGAGCCAGGAGGAAGGCGAGTACTTCAACGTGCCTGTGCCGCCGGAAGGAAGCGAGGGCAATGAAGAGCTGCGGCAGAAATTTGAGGTGAGCCTTTGCTTTTCTTTTTTCTTCCTTCCTTCTTTTATTTCCTTTTCTGTCTGTCTTCCTTCCTTCCTTCCTTCCCTCCTTCCTTCCTTCCCTCCTTCCACCATCCATGGGAACCAGATGATTTCACACTGTGCTGATTTCCTGCTGGTGGATTGGTTTCTGCCATAGGCTTTTCCTGACTTTCAGCCTTTGTCTGCCACACTGTTCCAAATCCTGTTTCTACCTGAAGACGCCGATGAAATACCATCTTGCTTTGTGCAGTCATTTCTGTTTCTCTGCCCCACATTCAGACTTAGATATTCCTTCAAAAGTGCTCATTCACTGCTCTGGTGATTTTGAGGGTAATTTGGACTGAAATGGTAGTAATAGTAAGTGAAAGGAGTGGGCAGAGTCAGAATGTATTTTGGAGGCCAAGTGAGCTAGGTTTGCTGACACACTTGAACCCACCGGCAGGGCTGTGAACACTGCTAACAAGTGGAATTTGTTGTGGTGGTAATTCTGTGAAATGCCTAGTGGGTGGCTCATCCCAGAGAGAAACTGTATCAAACAGATTGTGGTTGACTCTGAATTGAGCTGTCAGATAAGCCCCTTCCCTTCTGTGGGGACAGATGAACCCCATTTCCATCTATGTGGGGACAGCAAATATACAGAACGTGTCTCATTTTACAAAAGAAGTGTTTTTGGGGAGATAAGTTTGTATACATGCATTACAAAAGTGTATTGCGTGATTTCAAAGTGGGTTCAAGAGGGAAAGCACGTTGTTTTGTTCGTACACATTTAAGGTACTGAGTGGTGGAAATCATCAATTTGAGATAAGCAATGATAGACTACTAACCTTGAAAAAATGGATAAAATAGCATAGCTAAAAAGAGATGGAGTGATGCTATTCATTAAAAAATCATACCAGAGAATTTTAAAATTATGATCACATAGAGTTCTGTGAAAGAAAAACCATGTACCTTGGAAATATATAAAAGTAATGGAATGTTGTGTGAGAAGACATGGGAAATGTCAGGGGGAAAAAACTGCAGTGTAAATGAACCAAATAAAAAGGAGAGAAAGAGCCTTCCATTCAGCAAGAACTTGTGCTTGTGCAAAAGCCCTGTGGCAGGGAGCTACATAGCAACTATATGAGACTGATAAAGGGCCAGGAGATAAGTGGAGAGGGCCAGAGAGTGAATCCAAAACACAGTGGGGATCAGAGTAACAGGGCTGTGCTTGCTTTGATAAGGATATTGGCATTTATCATTGGAATTGTGCTCATTTCCCCCTCAACTGGACAGAAATAGCACTTGAGTGTCCACAGGTTCCTTGTCTTGATGCTGTCCCTCCATGCAGCCTGAGTGATACTGACGGTTCTAACCTAGTCAGTTCTCTCTTTCTGAAAACAAGTGAAATGAACTTGCTGACTTGAGCTTGTCAGCATTCTCCAGTGACCTTCATCACTGAAGGTCATTCTCTCAGTGCCTGCTCAAGCCCAAATGAATGTATAAAAGACCCTCCCACCAAGCGGAGCTGAGATCTGGATACACTGATAAAAATTAGGCAGGAAAGTAGTCCTTCCAGAGATCCATCTTATCTAGAATTGATGATTTCCCAGGGATTTCTCTATCTTTTTTCCCATCTCTCTGAGTATACAGTGTCCATTTGCTGCGGTGTTCAAGCTGTACCATTGTGGATGAGAAAACACAAGACTTTTTTTCTTGTGTATGAAAAAGTCTCACTTTTGCAAAATGATTTCTTCTGTCCTGGGGCAACTAGGGTGACATTTCAGAACACCAAGGAAGACATTTTCTCCACGAACAGAGCATTTGTCTGAGTCAGTAATTGGCTTGAAGTAAAGGACTACTTTATCTGCATGCAACAAAAGTGTTCCTTTTTTCTAGCTAGAGCCTGCAAATGCTTGTTTATGCCCAAATTATAATCACTCCGTACCATAGTTTCTGATTAAAAAAATGTTTCCAACAGACCGAAAATTGTTCTTAGGCACACAGAGGGATTTCAGTTGACCTTGAACGTGAGAAATATAATCCCTGTGCAATAACCAATTAGCACCTGGAATGACTCAGAAATTACTTGCAAGCCTCTTATCTGGAGGAATTCTGAGTGACGGTAAAATCCAGCTGCTGGAATTGGGGTAATGGAGTTTCATGGTAGGGTGAGCCTGTGCAATGAACACGCACACACATTCCAGAGCATCAGCATTGTGTCTGCCTGCAGTCTTAACTGTGGGCCTCCTGATGTGTCAGGAAAGGGAGGACTCTGCACTGGGTGGTTCAGAGTGGGTGTTCTGACAGCCTTAGAATGTATTTATTGAACAGAGTGCCTAAGATGCACTATTTACTATTCTAAGTGCTTTATAAATATTAACTCAATTTAACTTTTGTAACTACCATAAGTGTGTTAGTACTGTTATCATTTTCTCTTTCTTTCTTTCTTTCTTTCTTTCTTTCTTTCTTTCTTTCTTTCTTTCTTTCTTCTTTCTTTCTTCCTTTCGCAGATAAAGAAACTGAGGTGCAGAGAATTAAGTAATTTTTCGAGGTCCAGAGCTGGTTATTGTCCTGGGTTTGCATTTCCTCAGAAACTTACTATAAAGATGCTGGCTTTCCTTGTATAAAATGATGCAGCATTTGTATATCACCTGTGTACATTCTCCCAAATACTTTAAATCATCTCTAGATTACTCATAATACCTAGCATAATGTTCAAGCTCTTTGCGTAGTTGTGATAGTTTATCGGTAAGAGAATAATGATAAAAGGGGAAAGAAGTCTGTACGTGTTTAATACAGATGCATTTTAAAAATGAATATTTTGGATCTATGGTTGGATGGATTGCAGATGCAGAACCTGCTGATGCTGAGGGCCTGCTGTGTTATCAAGCACACACTGGTTGGCTGTGGGCCACTGCAGTTGAATCCCGCAGAACTCTGGGAGTCCCACCCAGAATGTGTGCTTGAGTCTTGCCACAGAGGGATTAGCCACAGCTCTCCCTCCTGCTGTGGGTGAGGCCTGTGCCCAGGGAATTCATTTCACACACCAGCATTGTTCAGGGCCCTGTTGGTGGGAGGTGCACGCTCTTGCAACCATAAGATGAACCCTGAGGCCAAGTCGCAGGTGTTAGCAGTGAGCTACCCCAGGTGTGGGAGCAGAACACCTAAGGGTCTTGACTGAGCACTGGTGCACCTCTGACAGCAGAGCCTGGCATTCAGAGTGGGCTGCCTGGGTTTGAATCGCAGTTTTGCAGCTTCCTTACTGAGTGACTAGAGGCAAGATGCTAATTTCCTCTGAGTTTCTGTCCCCACTGTATGTAAAAATGGGGAATTAGAACCCTTCTAGTTTCATAAGGCTATAAGGGCTGAATGAGGTAATGCATTTATGCTCATTCAGATGTCAGGGGCTGCCTCTGCTTCCCCAATGTAGTAAATACAGCTCAGAATATGCTCCTACTGGGAGTGGGTAGAAGACTTTGCAGGGTCTCTCAGGCTGTTAGCCCCTGTGTCTCCTGTGCTGGTCAGCTCAAAGTGCCCCATCATAGCTTCTCATAGAAACTGGATGCAGAGGAGTGAGTCTGCAGCTGAAGCCAGAACAGGCATTAAATATCATCTTGTGGGAGCCTAGAGTTTGCTGCTGAGGAACCTTTGCTGCCCTCGAAGCATCCTGGAAAGTGGCTGCCTCTCTGCTTAGAAATGTTCACTGTTTGCTTCCTCTTTGAACACTGAGTTCTAGGGCTCTGCATTGCAGACATGAAAGGCAAGCATTAGTGGTTCCTGTTCCTCAAGGCATAGCCAGCCAGCAAGAGAAAGGGCTTTTTTTTGGTGTGTGCCCAGGATTGAACTCAAGACCTCGCACTTGCCAGACAGGCACTTTCGCCACTGAGCTAAATCTCAGACTCAAAAATTGGACAGTTTCGATTTGGGCCCCAATTTTTTATGCTTGGTCTTTGGTAGGAGAATGTGTGAAGCATGAGACTATGTGGAACCATGGCATCCTTAGAGGATGTGTGGCAGAATTTTGTCCCCTAAAAGGTCATTGTGTTGGGGCCACAGGCCCAAATACTTTCAAGAACCAGGATGATGACAAGAAAGGGCTAAAGCTTGTTGCTAGATCTAGTTTTTTGAAAGAAGTCAGTAATGTGGGTTTTTATAAGGCTTCCTGACTTTCAACAGTTGGCAACTGATTAAAGTATTAAAATAACAACAAACACTGTTTGGGATATATCAGTGGTATTACTGGATTTCTGATCTAAAATCTGGAAATTTAAACGGCATGCTGTATTATTCTGTTTTATGTTGCTGTAAATAAATACCTGAAACTGGTTACTTTAAAAAGAAAAAAAGTTTTTAAAAAGCTCACTGTTTTGGAGGCTGAGTCCAAGATTGGGCAACTTTATCAATTTGCCCTCTAGTGAGAACTCCCATGGTTGGGTCACAATGTGATGGAGAAAGAGAAAATGACCTAGGTGCTTATAAGGCACACAAAATGGCTTCACCTTATAGTAACCAGCTCTTGAGTAACTAACTGTACAAGACCAGCATTACTTTTGAGGGTTGCTACCCCAGTGATCTACCTGCTTCCTCTTGGGCTCATCTCTTGAAGGTCTTACTGTCTCTCACACCACAGTGGGGACCAAGCTTCTAGCACAGAAGACTCTGGGGGCACACCCAAGCCAGATCTTGAGCAGAACATATCCCTGAGAGCAGAGGCACAAAGCACATTGAAGCAGAGTGAAGGAAGAAAGCCTGCAGCCCTAAGTTCAAAAAGACTGAAAGTGGTTTGCGGGGCTGAAAGATGAGGCTGTCACCCACTTGTTGCTCTTTAAAAGACAAGGAGAAAGCCCAAGGAAAAATTAAAATAATCAGACACTTCTAAGCAAAGTCAAAGAAGAAGCTGGAAAGTGTGAGTGCCGTGCCTTGATTTCATGGGCCTGTGCTCCAGGACCTCTGGGCAGATGGGCATATACTTCCAGTGGACTGGCACGGGCACTGGGGGCCAGGGCAGGCAGAACTGGGGTCTTCACAGGCTGGAGATCGAATGTGTGCGTTTGATGGATCCTAAATCAGGACTCAAAGGAGCTGGGAGACACAGTGGCAAAGAGTGAGGTGGAGGAAATGTGCTCTGGTCTGGCCAAGGTGGGAAAAATTCCGTGAGACAGAGAGAAAGGATTTGGGAAGCTGAGAGCACAAGGCCCGAGAAAGGCAATGCAGCTTCTGCCCTCGGCTCTTGATGTGTGGTCTTCTTTGCAAATAAGATACTCCTGTAGTTTTAATTATCCCCTTTTTGCCTATGACCCCCATATCTCCATCCCCAGGTCCTATGTATTTCTTACCCCCAAATCCATAAGTACCATTGTTTACTGGGTATTTCCACTTAACTGTTTCTCAGTGTTAAGCAATACTTTTACTTCAGCATATCTTTTCCACAAAATAAAATCTTTGTAGTAGTCAGCTTTTCCATCACTAGGACAAATTATAGCATTTGCCAAGCGTAGCTTAAAAGCAAAAGGGTTTATTTTGACTCATGGATTCAGCTGATGGTCAGCCGCTCTAAGCAGAAATATCATGGTGAAGGATCTCATGATCAAAGCTGTCCAGACCATAGCAGCAAGGAAACAGAAAGAGCAAGACAACTGGAGAAACGAAGGAAAGAAAAGGACTGAGGACAAGAATGCATTCTTGGGCTAGGGGTATAGTTTGGTGGCACAGTGCTTGCCTGGCAAGCATGAGATCCTGAGTTCTATTCCTGGTCTACCTGCTCCCCCCCACAAAGGAATATCTTCTTCAAATCACACCCCCAGTGACCACCTTTTCCAACCAGGTCCTACTGCCTAATAGCACAGTTGGCTATGTACTCATCTATGGATTAGTTCACTGATGAGGTTTGCACTATTGATACTCTAATGAAGAAGGAAATTTCACATTAAACCATAGCCTGGTCAGCTGTTTCACAGCAGTTTTGTTAGTATCTCTGAAGTATAAACAACACAAATGCTCATAAAACAGAATAATAAGCATCAATTAATGAAACTCCACAATACAAAGAAACAAATTAACTGGGCATGGTGGCACACATGTGTATTCCCAGCACTTTGGGAGGCTGAGGCAAGAGGAATTGTAAATTTGAGCCAAGCCTGACAACTTAGTAAGATCTTGTCTCAAAATAAGTTTTTTAAAAAAAAAAACAGATGTCTAGTTTAATATGAAGACCCTGGGTTCAATTCCCAGTATCAGATGTACAAAAGAAGGCAAATTACTAATTCATACAAGATGGATGAATTTTAAGAAGAGTTTGATGTGTGAAAGAAATCAGACATGAAAGAGTATGTACTCTTTGATTCTATTTAGATAAAATTCAACAACAGAGAAAACTGATCAATGGAATAGAAATCAAAGCAGATTGCCTATGTTGTTTGGGGGGAGGGACTGTTTGGAAACTTTTGGAGGTGTTGATGATAGAGATGTTTTATCTTGTTTGGGATATGGGTTACATGAATGAAAATGGGCACTTAAGATTTGTGTATTTCACTTGTATATCTCAATTTTTAAAACAATTATAAAAAGAAAAAAGTATAATGGATGCTTTGTCAGCCATGGTCCCTAAGTAGTAACAATGGAACATGTAATTTTGAGGAAAAACCTTGTCCTGCTAGGCCATTATGGATGACAAAGAGTCTCAGCATGTCTGCAGTCAGACTGGTCATCTCTTCCCAACTCTTGTCTACTCTTCCAAACTCACTTCTCCTCTTCCCAGTGGAAAGACGCACCATTTTCCAAGTTGCTCAAAATGGAAGGTGGGGGAGTGTCCTGTACATCCAATCTCCATTCTCCCTTACCCAGTCCACCTGTGAGTGTGATAGGTCCACCTGCCACCAGGCTGCTCCATTCAGTATGCACAGAAGACACATGGATCCAGATTCCATCTGCCTTGATGATTGTGATAACTCGGACAGTCTCCAAACTGGTGTCCTTCAAGTGGGTCCCTTGGCTTTCTCTGCCCTTCTTAAAACCTGTGAGTAGTGACAGTCATGCTTGGAATCAGCCTACATTCCTCCATGTGCTTTACAAGAACTTTCTAACCTTTTGGCCACATCTCACACAACACTGCCTTGCACCTCATGTTCAGCTAGGTGTTTTGGTTCAGTGAATGTGACTTGCTATCTGATCCATAAGTGCTGCTCCTGCTGCCAACACAATTTCTTTCCCTGAGTAGTTCCAATATATCTTCTAGACACAGTGAGGGGACTCAGTCTTTGCTAAAGTACCCACCAGTATCTGTTTTGCTACTTACCTGCAACACCTAGAGCAATACCTGGCATTCAGTAGTTGTTCAATTAGTACTTCCTAATTGAATGAGTCATCTTCTTTAACATTCAAAAGGCAGAAATGTGTCTGTTGCCTCTTCGATTTCAAAAGACAATGGATAATGCAATAATCTTAATAGCTGTCATTCACAGAGCTCCTACAATGTGCTGGTCATGATTGCAGACAACTCTATCTCTTGACATTATCTCTTTTTTCTTTACCAGAGGATTGAGGATTATTAGAAAGGTTCAACCATAAAGTGCAAGTAAGTTCTAGGCATTGCTCCAAGTACCAGGGAACAGTGGAAAACAGCACAGACAAAATCCTCATTTTCAGAGAGCTTATGTTCTACTGAGAAGGGAAAGATAGTCAATTGGAAAAACAAGTAAACATATGGCTTTTAAAATGATGACAAGTGATAGGGAGAAAACAAAATAAGTCGAGGGATGGAGATTGCTGAGTTATTTTATGTTTAGTGACCAGGGATGGGCTGTCCTATCAGAGATGAGGTGGCTCTGCAGAAAGTGCTCTCCAACCAAATGCAGAGGCCTGAGAGGAGAGCATTGTTAGTGCACTCAGAGAAAGGCAAAAAGGCCAGTGTGGAAGAAACAAAGAGGAGAGACAGAAATCACAGAGGTCCCGAAGGGTCCAAGTCATCTGTGGCGTTTGGCTTTTACTATGAGAGAAACTGGAAAGCAGGGATGTTGAGCAGGGAATGGCTTGAACCAACAGATACATTCAGGGTCACACAGCCGATCCAGGTCAGAGGCAGTACTCTGGTCTGATCCAAGCTTTTAACTGCACCGTTTTCTCTGTCCTAGAAGCAAATCCCTGAACAAAACCCTGGTGGTTGCAGGTCTCGTGCTGTGAGCTCCTGCTGTTGCCTCATTCCAAAGCATTTGCTGCCATTGGGATGCTCACAGTAGGGAGCTGCTCCCCCGTGGCACTGAGGACAAACATGGCCTCACTCATCCACCCACCAACAAATACTAAGGAAAACTGCAACGGATGAGACATATTCTTGCTCTTACAGTTTCCAGTTTCATAGAAGGAAATGAGTGAACAGGGAATATCATCCAACATTAATGAGAAGTAACACAGATGGAAGGGGAAAATAGAAGGGGACAGAATCAGGAGAAAGAGAATCAAAGAAGGCTTCTCCAAGGAAGTAAAAATGGGAAACAGTGGGTAACTAGGCTGCTGAAAGGGAAACAATGGCTGTTCAGAGGGCTGCCACAGCAGATCCAGAGGTCCTGAGCTAGGAAAGATCTGAGACATTGGGATTTGTGAGTGTTCTGTCAGTGTGAAAACTACCTAAGATAAATCAGTTTAAGAAGAGGAAAAGTCTATCTGGACTCACAGTTGCATAGGTTTCAGACCCGGTCAGGTGACCCATTGCTCTGGGCCTGGCTGAGGGTGCTGGATGGCAAAAATGGGGAGCATACAGTGGAGCTAACTGTTCACCTAGTGGCCAGGAAGCAGAAGTAAAAGAGGAAGGATTAGGAAATGCCCCTATAACCTAAGGCCCTCTCACAAGGAACCACAGCCTAAGATCCCTCTACTCCCTGTAGGTCCACTCTGGGGACCACACCTTCAATGCATAGGCCTTTGGGAGGTGTTTATCCAGTGGTAGCCCAGATAAGACCTGGTGTCATGGACCAGTGAGAGGACTTCCATCTTTATCCTAAATGAAATGGGGCACTATTAACTGGTGCATTTTAAGCAGGAGGTGACCTGGTTGGGCAAGAAATTGACTGTGGCTGCATGTGAAGTCCAGTATAAGGGATGAGAGGGACACATGTGGGCTGTCCAGGGAAGGTGTTGATGGAGAAGGGAAAAAATAGATTGTAGAGACAGCTAGGAGAGGGGAAATGGCAGTTCTGGATGACGGCCACACATAGGGGCAAAAGAGTCAGGCTTTCCAGGGGATGGGATATGATCTGCAGATCCAGCTTCCTGTGTGACTGTGTGTCCTCCTACAAGGGTCTCCTGAAGTCCTAACCTTGTCTTCTATGTTCTTCCTCCTCCAGAGGGCCAAGATTGGCCAGGGCACCAAGCCTCCAGAAGAAAAGACGACTAATACCGTCTCCAAAATTGACAACAATGGCAACCGAGACCGGATGAAACTGACTGATTTTAACTTTCTGATGGTGCTGGGGAAAGGCAGTTTTGGCAAGGTATGGTATCACTTGGAGGCTGGAATAGCTGCTTTTAATGGGCTTTATTTTTTAATGGGGGAAAGAAAAAAATGAATCGATCTACCCTGCAGTTTGTAATAAGTGGTGTAAAACAAGTGAGTGCTATGTCACAAATTGAGAGGAAAACCACTCTAGATTACCTAAGATAATTTCTAAACTGAGACCTGAAGGATAAGAATGAACCAGACTTGCTTTCCAAAAGTTAGGAGCAGATGTTTCCAGCAGAGAGAACTGCACATGCAAAGGTCTTGAGGTAGGAAAGAGCTGGGTGCATTCTAGGTACCATCAAAAGGTGTAGGGACCACAATGGCAGGAGCAGGTGGAGGTGCTAGGGTATGAGGTTGCGGAGGTAAGCAGAGGTCTGATTATGCAAAACCTTACGAGCTGCAAAGAGAGTTCTGATGTTTTTTCACAGTGCAATGGGGGACATATTGAGTTTTTAAGCAGAGAAGTGACATGATTAGATTTGCCTTTTAGAAAAGATCTGCGTGGCAGCTGACAATGAAAACAATCCCTTTCAAATAGCAGCCTAGTTGAAAGATGACCCTGGGACTCATAGAGCAATTCTGGATGCTTTTATAGATACCGTGAGACACTGTTTTACGAAAGCTGAGATTGTGTTATAAGTATTCCTGACTTGTTTAGTGTTGTTTGGAGTCTTTTAATTCCTTTGTGTGCCACAAAGGTGTCCAGTATAAATCTCGCACCATGAACTCAGGTGTGCAAAAAGTATAAATTTCTTTTCCATCTCTGAAACTGAAGCCAGAAATCTTGGAGTTATCCTTGAATTTCTTCATGCTTACCCTCCCAGCCATCCCCATCCCATGCCGTGCTCTGTACAATCCACTGGTGAATCCTGCCAGTTCCTCCAAAATAATCACAAGTTCCCTGTCCTTACTCCATCTTTGCTGATACAGCCTTTTTCTCTACTGAACCGTGTAGTACCTGGACCACTGGATGCTCCTGGTTTGTTTCTCACTCTCAGTCTTGTTACCTATAATTAGTATTCTTTCTATTTAGCAGCGATTGTAATTTTTTTTTTTTATCAGTACCAGGGATGGAACTCACGACTGCCAGCTTGCAAGGCAGGCACTTATGCCGCTGAGCTAAATCCCCAGCCCCGCATTTGTAATTTTTTAAACTTACATTAAGTCAAGGTCAAGGTACTCTCAGGCCAGTCCCCTCCAGTGGCTTCCCACTACAAAATAAATTCTCTGCTAAGTTTTTGGCCTACATCTCCTTTTATAATCTAGCTTTTGTTCTGTTTGACTCCTTCTTTTCTTCTTTTCCTTTTTTCCTGTCACCCACCGCATTCTGCACACAGTGGTAGCTCTTGGGTTATGAAACACACATACGCTGTCTTTCCTTGCAGCAGTTTTGATGCTTGCCTTTGGTCTTTGCACAGCTGGCTCTTTGTAACCCACACCTCAGCGTCAACATCAAGTCTACTCATCCACCCAAAGAAGCCACTCATTTATTCTCCCTCATATTTCATCCTTGCATGAAATACATCATTGGATGATACTTTTCTTACTTCCTTTTTGGTGTGTCTCTCTAAGATTTAAGGTCCAGAAGAGAGTGGATCTTTTCTGCTGTGGCTACCACAGTATTTCCACGGCTATGGATTGAATTTGTTCAGTGTCTAAGTGGAATACATGCATTTCTCTGCCTGTGGGTGGCAGAGTCATCTGATGTGATGGAATAAAGAATCTGAGATAAATGGAATGGCTTTAGAGAGTGAGGACACTCAGTGGGATTATGGAGTAGCCCTGAGGTCTGTAAGGTTAGAAAATATGTAGTTGATACTGGTCCACAGTGGCATTATGTGATTTCTTTTTCCAGCTACTCTGAGCAGCCTGGGTGTCAGGATGAAGAAGTACTTGGTGAATTTGAGCTAAGGGTGGAGACTAGCAGAATCACTGGACCAAAAGATTCGGGTAATAAGAGAACCAGGGATTCTAAAAGACAGATGCCCACAGAAGATCCACAAAGCATAACCTGTAGTGAGTGTTCAGCAAAAGGGTACCAAATAAATGATTGAAAATGGTACTGCCCCTGGGTTGGGAAAGAAAGCTAGCAGGAAGAGAATGGTCATCTGAGTAGGAAAGAAAATGTCTAGAAATTGGGGGTGAAAAATGAGTGAGTCAAGATAGTTGAAATGTTAGGAAGAATGGAAACATTTAGATTTCAGAGAAGGAGCAGATTCCTGATGCTAAAGCAGAAACCAGCCTAAATGAGGAAGAGATTCTAATAGGCTGAGTCCATTTGGGGAGGCTACTTTTTGTAATTCATTTATTTATTTGTAGGTTTTTGTTCTGTTTTTGTAGTAATGGCTTTCCTCCTCCTTCTGTACTTCCTCCTTCTCCTCTTCCTCTTTTTTGTACCAAAGATTGAACTCACAACCTCGCACTTGCAAGTGCTCGCGCTGCTGTGTTAAATCCCCTGCCCAGCTAAATCTCCAGCCCTGTTTTTGTAGTAATGAGGATTAAATCCAGGGGCTCACAGTACTAGCTATGCTTTCTACCACTGAACCATAATTCCAGTTTTCCCACCCCTTTAAATTTAGGTTTTGTAAAGATAAAGTCTCACTACGGTTTAGGCTGGCATTGAACATGTGACGCGCCCCTGTCAGCCTCCAGCTATGGGGTGGTTTTAAAATTTAAACTTTTAAACTGGATACAGTGGCGCACACCTGTATAGTCCCAGCTATTTGGGAGGCTGAGGTAGAAATCAAGCCCAGGGGTTTAAAGCCACCCTGGGTGACGTAGCAAGTCTCCGCCTCAAAGAAAAAAATTAAAAATTTATGAATATTTTTCTTATTTACATATATATTAAAACAGTATCATAAAAATATAATTCACAGCCCATACAATGCAACCATGTAAGGTGTACAGTCCAGTGGTTTTATGTTCACACATTTGTGTAACCATCACTGCACTTAGTTTTAGACCATTTTCATCATCTATAAAAGAAATTTCATAACCATTAATAGTCATGCCTCATTTCTCTCCTCACCAGTTATGTTTTTAATGAGTCTTATATTCTCATGGTTCATAATTAAAATTATGTTAAAGGGATAAACACTGAGAAATCTTGCTCCCACCAAGGTCAGCTCTTTCTTTTTGTGATTGCTGACTGATATTGTCTCTGTATGTGAACTTTAGTTAATTTAATTTGCTTCTTTCCAGTTTCTTTGTGCTAATTCAACATTCTTATTTCTGCCCTCATTAACTCAAAAGTTGGCATATTGTGCACATGTGTTTGATCACTTAACAATATAGGTTGGAGAATTTTTTACAGAGGAGTGGATATTCCTGAGGGCCTTGTGGAAAGGATCACTTTTGGAGGGGGTAGAGTAGTGGGAGAATGGATCACTGGGGAACAGCGAGGAAACATGAGCAAATAGATCATATGTTTCCATAGTAACTGTGATAATAATTGAGAATTCTCTTCCAGGCTGGGGATGTAGCATCAAATAAATCTTAGAGAAAAACAACAGCATGTCATGAAAGCAAAGTAGAATAACAAACACCTCTGTGATCCTTTAAAACATCTAGTAATCCTGTACAACGCTAGTTTCAATAATCATAGTTTTAAATTAATGTAGCTTCACATTTGAATGCCCACTTTGAACATTTTGCAGAGTCTTGTTAGGTATATAGATCAAACCCCTTAAAACCTCTCGGCAGCAGCGGTAGGCTCTCTCCCTTCTGAAGATGAAAGAGACCGACCTTTGGGGTTCACACCTCCCCTCCCCTGGGTCCACTCTATCAGATCTGGCCCAGAAAAACAGGCTTTTAAGCTCTGTAATAATTTGCAGAACAACTAGAGAATGACACAAGCATTTTGTTAAGATCTGTGAAAATGAAACAAGGGAGAAAGTGAGTGTGAAGGCAGTTATTCCAAATGTGCTGGCCCCATTTTAAAAACTTTCAAAAAAAAGAGCAATCTGGCAAGTTGGCTTTCTTGGACAGGTGAAGGGGTATCTGTCTAGAAAGATCGGCTTAACAGAGCAGACCTTGCTAGGCTGTCTGACTTACCTGGACATAGGTGCTTCTTAGAACTTTCACGATACAGCATCAGATACATTTTCATGTATTATTTAATGCTGCTTTTTAGGATTTGAGTTTTCACTCTCTATTTCTTATGATTCTTTCAGGTTTTGCCAAACTCTATACCTTTAAGAGATTTAATCTCTATGGTTGTTGAAATTTTTCTGGAGTTGAAATTACACTGTCTGTCTGTCTGACTCTCTCTCTCTGTCTATCCATCTATCTATTTATTTATCTATCTACTTGTACATACATTTGGACATATATGTATTGTCCAGATAGATTATGCAAGTTGACCTTATAAAACAAATACTACAAGTAACAACCCACAGAATATACATACAAATACAACTCTTTACCATATAGACTTGATGCCTGTCATCCTAATGTGCTGCTATACATAATATATATACAAATATCTATTAAATATTTAATTAGTGCTCATATTGCTTGTCTTCTCAGACTTCATCTATACCTGTGCCAGTGTTTTGTGTGATCTAAATCTTTCTTTGAAGTCACGCTGGGAAGTTTGAAAGAAAGTTTTCTTATTGAAAACTTGCCTATGGGAGATGAAACACTGGTGTGTATGTATTGGAGCACAGGATGGAACCGAGGGAGGCAGCTGGTGTGCTGTTATAGGCATAGATCTGCAAACATAAAGAAGCTCAAACCCAGTATCACAAAGATCTATGCAAAATGATATTTATTGGACCATACTTGATAATAGGAAAAATTGAAATTACTCATATAATGTAAAGATTAAATATATAATGGTTCATGCAAGCTGCATTCAAAAGAACAAAGCATCTTCCTCTCTTTATCTCCTTCTCCCTTCTCATACACCATATTGTCTCCCCATCCCATCATGGAAAATTTTCCATGATACTGTGTCAAGTAATAGTAAAGGGAAACAACCAAACATTGTGA